GGGGGGGGGGGGCTCACCGGGGACGCCGGCCGCCAAACCCTGTCCGAACGCCAGCGCCGAGTTCACTGCTGCCGCGGCAACCAGCTGCTCGTTCTGCTGGCTCTGCTGGCCCTGGCTGGGGGTCAAAGGTCGCTGGTTTCCGCCCGCACGCATCACCTTTAAAAGCAGAGGGGAGGTGGGAGAAAGGGGAGGGGGGGTGAGGAGCGTGAGCTGCAAACCGGGCGGAAACACGGCGGTGGTTCGGCGGCTCCTACCTGCTGCTGGTTCTGCTGACCCTGGCTCGCCGCCTGCTGATTGGCCGAATTGTTGGCGGCGGCCGCCTGCTGCTGGAAGAGGTTGGCTGGGTAGACGCCCCAGGGCGTCACGCCGTAGTACTGGGGGGGCATCACGGCGGGGCCTGGGGACGGACACAGGGGCCGTTGGGGCACCGTCCACACTCTGAAGGCGGGCTGATTGTTAAAAACACGGATCTCAGACACGCGCGTCTCACCGAGGGTCGCCGCCGCCGCCAGGCCGGCCGCGTAGGGGTCCGTCCCCGGGGGGGCCGCGCTGATGATGTAGGGGTTGGGCACAAAGGCCGGGGCCAGGCCTGGAAAACACACAGAGAGAGGAGAACCAACCTCAATATACGGATTCATTTCATTTATGGAGCATTGATTCAATGAGCAGCTGAGGAAAAACACTTTAAAAATACTCTGAATCAGTGACTTTTACTGTGGGGCCAGAAGCAGAAACCTCACCAGAGAGGAGTTTACACACTGGTTCTGTTTTTACTCCAAACATTAAAGCCCAGCTCAGGATCTTCTGACCACAGAGGAGCCGAGTCCCCAGCAGGGCGTCAGCTGTTCGCTTTAAGTAAAAGTTTGTAGTAAAGTTCTTGTGGTTTTTTATCTGTTTTAGCTGGATGCAGACGGATCATTTGAACCCAATGGAACAGTTTTACCCTCTTTCCTGATACAGCTTCTGGCTTCAAACTTTATCAGGACAGGAGAACTCTGGGCAGCCGAGTCTTAAAATAATACCGTTTTCCAGCTTAAAGACTAAATAAGTTGGTGAGTGTGTAACATTCATGTCCTGAAATTTTCCCACAGGAAGCCTCATCTGGTACCCCTTTATATTGAGTATTTCTTTATAATATTTCTTTTTACATCTCTCTTATATATTGCATTTGTTTTAATGCTATGTGCCGTATTTATAGGTAGGTTTTTGGGCTGTGGAACGAATTACAGTGTATTCTGATGGGAACCAGCATAGGAATATTTTAACATACGAAGTCGGTCCTGGAACCAGTTAAACTCGTCTGTGGAGGTTCTGCTGCGTTTCCCTGACCTCAGCGTTTCCCCCGGGTCCCGTTCCCCTCCTGCTTACCGATGTGTGGCTGCTGTGCGGCTGCCAGCGCGTACTGCTGCTGCTGGGCCGCCGTCAGCTGCTGCACGGCCAGCGCGTTGTTCCTCTGGAACAGCTGTGGGGGGGGCACAGCCCTAGGGGGGGGGGGGGGGGGGGGGGGGGGGGGTGGGGGGGGGGGGCGCTGCTCACCTGCTGCTGGTTGGCGTAGTCGAACAGGCCCACGGTGGGCGCCGAGTCCAGGGGCATCTGGGAGTTGTACTCGAACTGGAGGGGCTCCATCACCGACTCCATGGGGTCCATGGCCACGCCCCCCTGCTCCACCCCAGAGAAGTCCTCGGGGGGTTTGGGGCCCCCGCCCCCCCCCAGGGCGGCCAGGGCCTCCCCCCCGACGCCCCCGGGACCCCCCAGCAGGTCGCCCTCGGGCCCGGGGGGGGGCATGTTGCCTGGGGGGCGGCTGTGAGGACGGAGAGGCAGACGGTTAGGTCCAGGCAAAAGGAAAAGGAGCAGAAGAAAGTAAAAATACCCAAAATACCCGGTAACGGCAAGGAGGACGAGGGGGTCAGCACAGAAATGCAACAGGACCAGATCAGAGCCTGGAGACTCTTCATTCTAGTTAACACCACACCTAGAATTTATCTGAAATTCTAGACCTGAACAATCTTTAAGGGTTTTAACACAACAGGATCTATCCATCACCAGTGCAACTCTGGCCTCGATCAGTCTGAATATAGTGCTGCCATTTATCAATATATGCTAGAAATCCACTGTGTCTTAAGTAAGACACATTCCGTGACTTCGAATGCTGGATGAGCCACTGCAATCTATGTTGTCTTTTATTTGTAAATGATATAAATCACCATTAACAGCGTTAATGGTGATTTATATCATGTACAAATATATTTAACAAATGTTTTAACACCATTTCAACAACATTGTGCCTAAAACTGAAAATACACAAGTCTGAACCTGTCAATACTGGAAATGAGCAAAAACAAATAAATACTCTGGAATCAAATCCCCTTTCGATATGTGAGGAGCAAAACCGAGGTTGCTTATCTTTAACTTGCAATGTTTTTTTGTTTTTGTTTTTTTGTTTTTTTTTTTAAAGATTTTTTGGGCTCTAGTGGCCTTTAATGACAGTAGGTTGACAGGAAAGGGGGCAGAGACAGAGAGGGGGAGACCTGCGGGAAAGGGCCGTGGGCCGGATTCGAACCCACAGCCACCCGCTTACGAGCAGAGGCTCTGCACATGGGCCGCCCGCTCTAGCCATTAGGCTATGGCTGCGGCCCTAACTTGCAATGTTTGAAACCACGCCGGGTCCTACCCAAACTCCTTGACGTCGACGTCCAGCCCGTTCTGCACGGGGAGGCCGTTGGGGTTGATGACGTCACTGATGACGTCGGACTCGCCCTCCGTCAGCTCCTTCAGCTTCTCCCCCTCAAACGCCGTCTTCGGCTTCTCTCTCTTCTCCTCCTCCACCTCTCCGTCCCGCTGCCCCTGAACAGCAAAGCCGGAATAAAAACACACCGAAACACAGCGGCCGACTCGGGCCACAGAAGCTCTGACCATCCACCGGGTTTTCCACACCATAAACCATAAGTCAGACTTCATTAATAGAACAAAAACTAGCGTTCTTACGACTCCGTTCTCTCCAAAAATGAATAAATGGCTGTTTTGTTATTTTTCCCGAGCTAATGTCAGTGACGTGGTGTCTTCCCGACACAGTTTATCTTTTAACAACGACGTATAATAGGTGGAGCAGCATTTTTATCACGTATAGGCGGGAAACCTGTCCTCGATTCAGTAAATACATAAAAGAAACAGTCTGATACCGCCGTTACACACATGAATGGAAATGAAACACATATCCCAGCATGCACTGTGCGCTACTTCTTCTACGGGAGAAATGGAGTCGTTGGCTGATTCCTGTAGTTGCGAGACCCGTTTCAGCAAAATCTTGATCCATATATAAGGAACACTGTCGGTTTTTGAGAAAGTTGTAGGCTTTTGGGTGGAGGAAGCTGAAGGAGCTCCACACTTACGTAAGGTCCTTTCCGAAGGCAGGAGTCCAGTTTGTCGGCGGGCGAGGAGGAGAGGACGTACTCCACCATGCTGACGCCCAGCCCGCCGCTCTCGGAGCGCGGTGACATCACCGAGCCCACGCCCACCTCCCCCCCCCCGTGGAAGCCCTGGCCCGGCCGGCGGGACACCATGATGGGCTGAGACACCGAGTGATCTGTGAGGACCGGAGCAGGGGTCAGTTACAGCCGAGGCACGGCCAGACCTAGACTTAGACTTCCTTTATTGTCATTGTACAAAAAACACAAGGAGAATCTCGACAACGAAATGTCGATTACTGGGCTACCAGTGTGAAGCTAAGACCTTATTCCTACTTAATAAATATGTTTTCTTTAACTAAGATCTAGATATATACAACCGCCAGCATCCCACACAAAGGCTTCCTAAAGGGGCAAAAACCCTCCAATATCCAAGTCCCCCGGTGGCTGCATGCCATTAACAGCCTTCTGTGTTATAATCCCAACAGCTTGTTATGATTTAATTGATTGAATAATTCAGTGGATCCCACATCTGCTGCCACAGAAACAACTCTACGCTTGGCTCTCCAAGCCGAGTCAAACAGGAGTCCAAATGCAATCTGTTTATTAATGAGCTCATAACTGCGCACACACACACACACACACACACACACACACACACACACACACACACACACACACACACACACACACACCCACACACACACACACACACACACACACACACACACACACACACACACACACACACACACACACACACACACACACACACACACACACACACACACC